CTGGAAGCACTCTTCTCACACGTGACTCACCTTTCGTAAGCCCTTTATACTCGCCCTTATCATCTTCACTTCCGGTTGCCTCAGTCCCCTCCTCACAACACGTCATAAACTCCCGCGCAAGACGAGGTATGACGTCATCGGCCCGGACATCCGCCGCAGCGACCAGGCCTTCTACCGCAGCGAAATATATATAACTGTCCTCGTGTATCAGACTATCACGAAATGTTTTGACCAAAATCTCGACTTTTTCCAAGGCATTCGGATCCCGAGATTTAAGCAGAGTCGCAAGTCTCATCAAGGCATGACCACGAACTGGTAGCAATGGATCACAGAGCTGCTCGAATGCCGTGTCGAAGTCTGTCAAAACCAAACATTATTTATTGGTGGGTTTATGGTTATTAATGTTGATTACTAATATATATTTATTGGTGGGTTTATGGTTTATAATTATTTATTGGTTATCAGGAAAATTTTCCGCAGAAAGAAAATTTTGTATAATGTGATTGGTCGACACAAATTTTCCGTCGGAAAAAATTTTGAAGTTGAAAATTTTCATATTGATAGTTTAGACGTTCTCTGTTTTTTAAAAATTTATTGAAACGTGCTTTCGACTGCCAGTCTGCAGTCTTCAACGGGCAAGTGATAAATAATGAATTACAAGGAAAAACATTGGTTTACAATTACATACAAAAACAATTAAACAGTTCCGCTCCGCCTACATGATAGATATATGATAATATGACTTAATATTACTATATTATATCCACAAACAAACCATTATATGTTTTATCGCCATGCAAACATACAAAGAACTTATACAAAGAACTTATTGATAATATGACCATCATGTAGGCGGAGCGGAACTGTTTAATTGTTTTTGTATGTAATTGTAAACCAATGTTTTTCCATGTAATTCATTATTTATCACTTGCCTGTTTAAGACTGCAGACTGGCAGTCGCAAGCTCGTTTCAATAAATTTTTAAAAACCAGAGAACGTCTAAACTGAATAATCCCGGTTACGCTTCTACCATTTTTAAAGAAAATTTTCAACTTTTAACAATGATATTTCGGAACATTTTCTGTCCGTGGAAATTTTTCTCGAGTGGAAATGGGCCTCAACGGTTGAACACCACCAATTGCGGAATTATTTAGTGATGTATGCTATTGTTTTACCTAAATTTAAACTCGTTTCATCATTCGGTATCCATTGTGATGCATTAGTTTCCGTATTCAACTCTGCTTTCGCTGTCATAGTCCCCTTGCCGTCACCCTTCGCCCCTTCACGCCTTGTTTTCTCAGCTAACACGGTTGTTTTCGTGAGAATGACAACCAACAAGTCGTTCGCTTGTTCCGTGATTTCTTCTTCTACATGGTTCTCAGCAATTTCTCGTAAGATGGGAGTCAATGTCTGAAGTTTGACGAAGTCTGAGGCTTCGACCTGGACAATAGAAATGAGAAATAAAAGATGGACTTTTAGATGCATCATCGATGACTACTTGTCTTGAAGAAGTAAGATTAACATTTCACGTAAAAATCTCACAACTTGTCAACAAGATGTGTTCGCAACAGGCTTGTAGCAAGCTTGTCAACAAGTTGTAACAATGTTGTTATTTTATCAAGTTGCTACAAGGTTATCACTCACAACTTGTTAACAACTTGTTGAATTGCAGGACGATAACAAGTTGTTGGAACAACCGGTAACAAGTCTGTTGAGCTAAACGACCTTGTAGCAAGTTGTTAACAAGCCATTGACAAGTTGTCAACAAGCTGGGAACAAGCAGTGCGAACACATCCTGTTGACAAGTTGTTGGAACAGCATTGCTACAAGTCTGATGCAGTTTGTTACAACTTGTGCGTTTTTACGTGTATACAAAACGCTTACCTAATTACTTAGCCTGGACTATTTTATCTCTACAACAATTGTGATATTACTTTCTTAACTGTGTTTATCCTAACCCACCCTGTCAACTTTCCCTGTGGGAGGAAACCGGAGCTCCCGAAGAAAACCCACAACATTCGGCAGAGCGTTGACTGACTCTTTTCACATGAGTCCGTAGCGAGAATCAAACCCACGATCTCAGAGGTGAAAGCTTGTTCTGATTACTGTGCCACCGAGGTCCCTGTACTACTACAGTGTATCTTATCTTTACCCAAGTTCGTCCATCAGAGTACGTAATGAAAGTGCGACTGACCCCAAATATGATTTTTGGTATGTGTAATATCTGGGTCATTTGAAGAAGAAATGTAATGTATCTTTATAGTAAAAAATTCCATCTTGATAAACTTTTTCACTGTCAAAGTTTCTGGATATGATGTCATTAGGTGAATTGCAAATTAGCTTTCCTTTGTTTTTTTCTATCAAAAATTCACCTAATGACATCATATCCGCAAACTTTGACAGTGAAAAAGTTGATCAAGATGAGGCTTTTTACTATAGAGATACATTATATTTCTTCTTAGAATGACCCAAAAAATATTACACATACCAAAAAACATATTTGGGATTAGTCACACTTGAAGTATTGAATACAAACCTTGACAGCACCGCCTAGCAACGCAGATAACATTCCCAAAGCCATTGTAAGTGTTTCCAACTCAACGCACCAGCGCCACTCTCCGCATCCATGCTCTCCATGTACACGTGATGTGCACGTGTTAGGGTCGTGTCTATGAACTGAATCATGTGACCAGTGTTCTTTAGCACAGATGGCCCAAGCTTTTCGCACATTAATGCTAGCGCATTAAAAATCACCAATGCCTTCATTCTCCCAATTTCTCTGAAATTTGGCTTCAGAATTATTTCTTGAACTTGCTGGAGTAGATACAGAAAGAAATTTCCAGGAATTTCATCTTTTCGTAGATTCTGGAGCACCTCGACTACACACAAGGCCCTGGTCTCGTAGCTTTCGTTTTCTTTTCCAAAAATCTCTCCAAATGGGTTTTCATTCCTCTCTGTTTCAGACGGATGAACGTTTTGTAAAAGAACACCCCCACCTTCACCGTAGCCAAAGCTGCAATTTTTCGCCATCACGGTTATTTTAGGTATACAAACTTCCGAGTGTTCTCCGACATCTTTCGAAAGGTTTCTGGCATCGTCCGAGCGTTCTGCAAGATCTTCTGATTTTAAGAATGCGTTTTTGGACTCGGAATCGGGACGTTCTTGGCATACAAACACATAGAGCGTTTCCAGTGCAGTGAAATTGTTTGTTCTTTTAAAAAACGTCGAGAGTAACTCTAACAAAGCTGTTCTGTTAAAAACAAAATTAACGCTCTCTAAATTCCCATGCGCAACAGACAACACCTATATAATCCCTTGGAAAATTTTGCTATTTCATGCATTTTAGACATGTTTCATGATAATCCGAAAGCCACAGATTTGGTATATTTTCTGTTATAAATGAAATCATAACAAGGTCATGCCCCCCCCCCACACCCAGTGTCTCCTCCCTCAATTTGGGAAGAATTACAAAGTTGGTCCTGAAGAAAAATGAGGATCTCCCATTCCCACTTACTTCACATGGGATGCACTATGTCTGGCAAAACAAAACAGTTCAAACACAGGCACAACTATCCTTTCCATATTTTCTGTCAACACTTGACTGGAGTTAGGAGATGCAACGAACACCTGATGGTTAAAAAGATTTAAAATTTTTAGAAATTTTTTTTAGAAAACATAAGTGAAAATACTAGGGTTTTTTGTGGCTAGGCCGATTTACCTAGTTTATTCACTCAAACAGCATACAATGGACGAAATATTTTTACCTTGTGTAATCCTTCAATACAACGAGTCATTTCTTTCTCATCCACCAAAACTGTCTTACTGTTTTTTCCTGGAAAATTTCAAGTTCCATTTCACCAAGCTGTGGTCGTAGTTTGATTCGTGCAATATATGGTCGTCTGATTATTATTTGTCGCTGTCAGTAACATACAAGAGGAGAGCTTCTATCCAGTTTGCATCTATCGTGTTGTACATATACTAGCAATCTCGTTCCCCGACCCTGCAATCCTCAGGAAGGAATCGAAAGCTCTGGGATAATCCGTTACTGGATGGACCTTCAGAGAGAACAGTTTCGAACTGATAGAGCTATCCAGTAGAAGGTATTATAATAAAAAATTTAATACCAGGGAAACTGACCTGGTTTAAGGCTATATTTACCTGGTTCCTGTGTTGCTATCAGAAAAGGCCACATCAAAGGATCGGTTATGTACTTAGCGGCAATCTCTGGATATTTTCTAAGCATTGCATGAATAATCAAGACTGATGCCTGGCTGTATTGTTGCTGAAGCTTTGATGAAGGTAATTGCAATAGCATTAAAACCTTTTAAAGACAAAGTATTATGTTAGATGACTGATTGACAAATTAACCCTTTAAGTGGCAATGCACCCTGATGCACCCCCACTTTAATAGTATTAAATTACTCTGTCTAACGCCAGACGATTTTACTCATCAAGTGAAGAGTGCTGACACTCAATGGGTTAAACTACAGAACTTTACTGTACTATAATATATATTACCTGGGGTGAAATGGATTTATAATATTCGTCTGGTAACTGCATTTGTAATGGACAGTTTGCAATGACCTTGGCAATAGCTTCACATATTTTCCATTCATTTGCCCCACCTATAACAAAATATTACTCTAGACTATTAGCCCTTTATGTATGGTAGCAATATGTACCCTAATGCACCCTACTTTATTATATTACTATCTAATGCAAGACGATTTTACTCATTGTGGCATTAGACAGAGTAAAATACCCAAGTAGGGTGGATTACGGTGCATTGTGGGCTTACTTGGTTCAGATTTATCACCTTGTTAATGAAGTACATTTCCATTTTAACCATATTACCTGATGTTCCTTCCAAAACAGCTCTCAAAACACTTTGCACTCCATTTTTCTTTGTCAAACATTTTGACAACAAGTGACCACAAACATCTTTCATCCATTTGGGTGTCCTTGTGACAGCCTTCCCCTCCAACTTTACATTATTCAATTCTTCTGGCATTGGTGCTCTCCTTACGGACTTCTCTTTCCTATCCGCACTGCCCAACTTCACAGTTTTGGACTCTTTTTGATTTGCTCGTTGGCCTGACATACTCCCTTGTAGAAACAACAACTCTCGTATGATCAACGGTTGATACATTTTACTGATGATATTATTCAAAGTCCTTTTGCATTCTTCTTGTTGTGCTTTAGAAATGAAGATACCACCTTCACAAATCTTCATGATGTTGAAAGACTCTTCATTACACGATTCATTCAGTTGTGTGTCATTCTGACCACGCCTATGTCCCGACAATTCTCCATCTTGCCCTTCTGACTTGAGAGCACAATTTCCCTGGCTGATGCCTGTCGGTTTCTTCCCTATAGCCAATGAATCCTGACCAGTTGATTGATCAATACAACTGCTTTCATCACAAACCTCTCGGCAATACCCAAGCTGCATCAGTGCCGCCAATATATCGGCCAAATGCTTCGACAAAATTACCAAACTCAAACTTGGCTCGTTAAGACAACTAACAAGGGTCGTAACACACTCATATAAACACTTTGGACACTTAATATCCTGCTCAGAACCCAAAGCAGCACTAAAGCCTGTCCTTTGCTCAACTGGTATTCCAACCCCTTGTAAAAGATTAGGGCAGATTCCTAAAACTACAATTAATTGAATAACAGTTTTGACTAGTTGCTGATCACTAATGCTCAAATCTACTGCGGGACCTTTGGCAGTGTTGTCAGAGCCCTTCATAGCTTGCAATGTATTTTTAAGACAGCGTAGTGCTTGTAAACAAATTTGGCAAAAAATCCATCTGACAGTTTTACTATTATTATTTGTTATTGTCTTCTCTAACGAGTTACAACTAGATTCATTTTCTTTGTGGTTATTTAAAACAGACGTGCCTTCAACCTCTGTAGAATTTAATGCATCCTTCTGCCCTTCTGAGCACGATTTTTTCTCAAAATATCCACAAAAGTACGTCTTCAATTCGCAAAATTTTTTTAAATTTTCGTCGTTTTCCAAGGCTTGCCAAAGCAGGCGCAGATTCAACACTAACAGATCATCAAAATTGCTTGTCGTTGCAACGTTTGAACTGAGATCTGCAGCTTTGCTTCGATCGGTGTTTGATAGAATTTTAAAAACTGAAATTACTCCCTTACACGTGTTTTTGGCCGCCATGTTTTCAAATTCTCGAAATTATTCTAAATTCGAGTGCAATGGTTGGTGGGCCAACTGACCATCACAGAATAATGCTTTGCCAATGATTTTGGTGTAATCACTAATCACTGTCCTAGCCAGTACACTTTTGATAAGCAATCACCCCCCTTAACATATTCAAAATGGGTGGATGTATGTTCCAGGGGCAAAGTCGGAGTTCATCAGTATAAATAAACTGGAAGGCTAACTGCTATGATGAAGGCCTATGATTTGATGAAGCCAAAATAGTTTTTCTGAGTTATGAGCAGAAATACTTGACCCCAAACGTCGGACTATATATCAAATTGAAGCTATTAAAAATTGCTATTCGTGTGGAAATTTCAAGACTTCAGCGAAAAGAAAAATATTTAAAAAATACAAAAACAACTGCAAAACGGCAAATTATCGGTAATTATGTTTGTAGTTTTTCAATATTTCCCTTTTAGCTAAAGTCTTCAAATTTCTACACCAAATAGCATTTTTCAATAGCTTCAATTTGATATATAGCCCAACGTTCAGTGTTGAGTATTTCTGCTCATAACTCAGAAAAACTAAAATGCACTGGCTTCAATTTCCCCCCCTGAGTTAGCCTTCCAGTTTATTTATAGTTCAATGGTTCACCTTCAGTTTGTCTCTATTCCACCCCTAACCTGCGAACGGGCATGCTCTGGGTATGAGATTGGGCAATACCCAGATATGTTTGATACAATACTGATTTTTGAGATCATTATCAGTTGCATCAATTAATTTACTCAAAATCTCAAATGATCATTACTCATCAAAAGATCATATTACAATCATTGAACAACAACAAAAATTAACGACATATGTATTCATGGCTTTTTACTTATGTATACAAATATAGCAATCACACTTTATACTAATTCAGCATTTTCGTTCACTCCTTCAGCCCGAGAGCTGTCGACCAAAAACCTCGATAAATCTTCTGGTCTTCCATGAGGAAGTTCGAACCTATTCTCCAATATGTCTGACATTGAAAATAACTCAAGGTCTTTTACTAATTGTGGGATTGATTTGTTCGTCAATAGTGCATGTTTGAGCTTAAATGATGCTTTTGTCATAGGTGGATATATCGGTGCCGTATGGAAATCAATATTGTAGCCGGAGGGAAGACCGTAGTCACGATGAATAACCTTAAACTCCTCTGTGGCCTTATCGACATTCCACAACAAAAAGCAAGGCATCTCTATAGCCATTTTCAAGGCACATTCATTTGTGATGCCTAGTTCTTCGCAGACTGAACTCAAATTTGATTCAATCTCAAAAACATAGCTTCGAAGTTTCGGATGGCACTCGTACAAAAAATGAACAAATTTGGCATTGCCGTTCATATCTTCGCCACAGTGAATCAAACCACGGAGATAATGCGTCGAAAATCCCTGATTTGCAAAACTTAACATCAATACAGGGGGGTAACGTTCAACGTCTCTGCGTTTTTGCCGGGGGGTGAGTTTCATTTCTTCCATAAATTGAACACGCTGCTTTAACAACTCGACCCTGTAGTTCAGAAAAAACGGCTGCGCGCTTCGTACCATTTTGTAATCCATATCCTCGCAGCGGTTTGCAAGTAATTCAGCACAGAATGAAGTCGGTAGCAAACCAGAAAATTTCTCATGCCGATCTAATTTCATGTGCTGCATCAATAATTCTAAGTCCGTTTTCTTGCCAAATGTTAGCTTACGTGGACCAACCATAAGAGAACGGGCAAGACTAGGACTTGATTTAAACGTTGGCTTAAATAATTGGCCACGATTTCGTCTTCCATGTTGTAAAACGGCTGTTGAAAATCGCGAAAAAACAGTAAAATTGGCAGCCATCTTGAAAAGAACTAGTTGGAGCGATTATCCTACTTTATCCTACCGAATCCTACAGCCCTACTAATGCTGCCGTCGTTTGCATCTCAGGATGAACACTCGCAGATGAAGACAATGTCTATTCTCACGTGACTTTCACGTTTGTATAAATAACAATTTGAAGGGCCAAATTAGCTTTAGATATAATGATAGTTCTATCAGTTCTAAACTGTTAACCCTAGAGGCCCAGTAGGTTAAACTGTTAACCCTAGAGGTCCAGTAGGTGCCATACTTTGCCACAGGACGAAACTGGAGAAAACCTGAACTGGGTGGAGTCAAAGTGTGGAAGCACTTGTTTCACATGCGACTGAGATGAAATACACCCTTTCGATAATTACGTCACACATACTTCTTGGTCTTGGAGCCTCGCTGTCATTAGTAAATTACGCAAAGTGATTGGCTCACAATTCATGAGAACGAGGCTCCCAGGCCAAGTGACGTAATTATCGAAAGGGTGTATTTATATTCTTTTGTTTTTTATAATGACCAATAACAAGGCTTAAATTTTTTATTTGCCTTGTTATTGGTCATTATAAAAAACAAAAGAATATATTATTAAAATGAGGCTAAGGGAAAGTTCGATACTAAATATACTGGTGTATTTATAATCAGACAATTGAATCCCGGTCATTGAGGTTAAAAAGAATGTTAAACAACACACAGTTCACATACCAGTTGACACACCAGATATATAAATAAATTCAATTATTTTACAATCTTATTTTCTACCATTCCTTTGATACTGTGATTTCTCATTACCAGACCTCCAACCTGTCCTCGCGCCATTGCTATATTCATTACCAGACCTCCATCCTGTCCTCGCGCCATTACCAAATCTATCGCCTCCATTACTACCAAACCTGCCAAAGCCATTAGAACGAAAGTTCGTCGAGCCAAAACGCCCGCCATTGGACTGACTGTAGGTGTTTGTGCGAGCAACCAATTCTGGAAGTTCTTTGGCTTTTTCTAAAGTCATACCACTAGGATTGCTCCAAGATTCCTAAAAACATATAGAAATCACGTTAGCAAAGCTCTGAACAGACTAGATTGTTGTGGCAACAGTGTTTCCTAACCATGTTTTCGGAAGGTGGACAAACCAGGAAACATTGTTTCCTAGCCATGTTTCCAGATGGTGGACAAACCACGAAACATTGTTTCCTAGCCATGTTTCCCGAAGGTGGACAAACCACGAAACATTGTTTCCTAGCCATGTTTCCCGAAGGTGGACAAACCACGAAACATTGTTTCCTAGCCATGTTTCCCGAAGGTGAGCAAACCAGGAAACATTGTTTCCTAGCCATGTTTCCCGAAGGTGGACAAACCACGAAACATTGTCTCGCAACAAAAAAACACATATCCAGCAAAAAAAGGGAAAAATCATATACCGCCTTATATCTCAGACCTTCTGACACCTAAGCCTATTGGTTGCTACAGCCTGCGCTCGAATGAGCAAAATTTGCTAATAGTTCCTAAGACAATGAGGAAAACGTTTGGCGACAGAGCTTTTGCCAAGGCTGGTCCATTTTTGTGGAATGAACTTCCCGCTGACATTCGTGAAGCGTCAACAGTGGAAAGTTTTAAAAGCAGACTTAAGACCTTTCTTTTTAGAAAGGCATTTTATCTTTAAATATAATAGTAAATTTGAACTTCTCGCTGACATTCGTGAGGCGTCAACAGTGGAAACTTTTAAAAACAGACTTAAGACCTTTCTTTTTAAAAAAGGCATTTTATCTTTAAATATAATAGTAAATTTTAAACATGTATATATAGGTATCATCTCATACTTTATAACATTTTATTTGAATTTGTAATGATAGCGCTTTAGAATATTTATAGTTTTAGCGCTTTATAAATTAATAAATTATTAAATTATTATTATTATACTCACTTCAATCTCAGAATCTAAACTGCTAGGAACATCAAATACCACGCCCTGAAAACAAAGCAGTTTGTTTATTGGACAAGTGTTCAAACAGGAGGAAATCAGAATAGCCACTCTTCTCACACGTGACTGAGGTGAAATTATAATGAGACAACTGCATATTGCAGGAGTTACTCACATAACGATCTTCAAACATTGTCATTCCTTTGACCTCAGATTTAACCTTCGCTGGTAAATAATTTTCAATTACTCTCCACATGTACGCGGTTGAACGTAGTTCCATTCTATCTTGTTTCAAAACGTATGTTGTGTAACCCTACGAAAAATAACGAAAATTCTTTCTACTTTCTATATTTTTCTGTCCAGGCTGATGAGAATTTACCACAGTACCTCTTGTGACGACAGAAGAGATCTGGATTTAATTTCGGTTGTGCCCGAGATATGCGCCAACGCGGCAGCCACTGCGTCAACTGCGCCGCGTTCCTCTATCAGTGCTTCAGCGGCTTCACGAAAATACGTCAAAGCATCGGCAGGAACCTGGGCTAAAAACCTACACAAAACATTGTCAAGATTTAGGGAATGACAGCGAAAAACTAACTATTATGGGAGGAAAGGGGCTAAGATCTTCCAAAGACAAGGTCATTCTCGTACCCAGAGCCCTTCTTACGCGCGGTCAACGGAGCGCGACGAGGGGTGCTGGCCAAATCCATATCAAACTGGCATCTGATTGGCTACAACGAAGGTTATTGTTCTAATACCGGATATATTCTATTACCATGTTTTTATGGTACCCGGTTATGGATTTTGCCAGAGCCCTCGTCGCGCTCCGTTGACCGCGCGTAAGAAGGGCTCTGGGTACGAGAATGAGACAAGGTTTATTATCTCCGTATCTGGCTTAATATAGTTGCTGTCACTTGTCGGTGGTAAGGTATTGGAACCTCAAAGTTACTGTCGAATCTTCACAGAGTTAACGCAGAAAATACCATTTCAGAAACTCTAGGTTCCAAAAATTTTCCGGACGCAATGAAGATTCAAGATTCTAACCTTTTAGCATCCTCAGCTGACGATTTGATAATATCTTCCGGTTGAGGAGCACCAATTCGTTTGAATTTAATTCCCTGTTAACATCACCAATACATTTCTAAAATTCGTGTTATTAAATATTACTTGAATATCCATTACAGAAAGACTTACGGCTTTTCGTTCGACCATTTGCAACAAACTTTCTTGGCTGTATTTGTAAAATATGATACAAACGCCACGTCGTTGTGCCCGACCTGTCCTGCCTGCTCGGTGAATGTATGCGTCCACATCCTGTTTCAAATGAGAAATATAGTTTAATACTGCTCATAAATCATGTAATAAAACTGCTCATACATCCTGTTAACCCTTTCATCAATGAGAATTCGTCCTGCTTTATTTTACTCTGTCTAACGCCAGACGATATCAGGGACGTCGCTATAAGGGGGGGGTGTAACACCCCTCCCCCCCCCAATAATTCAAACGTTGGTCAAAGTTGGTCAAAATGGAAGTGATATTTGCCCAAAGTTGGTCAAAATGGAATAGATATTTGCTTAAAATTGAAGGTAAAACAGGGAAAAAAATTGGAAGCCTTGCTCATCTTGTCGAAAAATTTTGAATTTGCTTATGTTATGACCAGGAAAAATTTTTACGACTTGGTCAAAATCCCAGGAAATGTTGGTCAAAACATAACGACACCCCCCCCCCC